ACCCTACTATTCTCCTGTGGGTGCGGCTCTGGCCTCCTCCTTCTGGCGGTGCTCCCAGACTCCTCTCGGCTACGTTGTTGTGCTACGTTCGTGCCTACGTTCTGCAGGAGAGTTTATGCAGTCTGGCGTCTCTTTCGGCCTTAGGAATTTACGACCATAAGACCAAGGTGACTGCAGAGGGCCTATTGGCCTATATGAGGCAGTTCTTATTTATACCCATCCGGTCCCACTCGTATACATGTTCATCACATGCTTGAGTCAATCAATGAGCCCTACCTTTGTCATGTTAACAATTACATTGGTGGAGGTAAATGTTATGGAGTAAATGTTACCTTCCTTACACTGGGTCAGGATGTGATGTGGTGACATTTTGCTGTGGCTTGATACTGGGTTTCTGTGTTGGGGTTTGGTTGTGGCATTTTGTTTGGCCCTGGTGTGCTTCTTCCTGGGGCCTTCCTTGTTAGCCTGCGTTGTTTGTTACACGGTGGGTCACGGCCATGTTTTTTGTGGTCTTATCGGGGTCACTCTTTCCTTGCCCGTCTTGCAGTGCCCTTCCATATACATTGTATTTTCTGTGCTCGCCTAGCTGTCCTTACCTAGCTGTGCTTGCGGGGGTTGAGCTTTGGCTCTTTTGTTCCGCTTCTTGGCTGTCATTCGCCTGACCAACCCGTTCTCGCACTTTCTTAGTCAATATTGACTTATTAAATACGTGCATATGTGACATACTAAACATACTAGTTTACCTTGAAAAGCTTCATAAAAAACACCTACCTTACCTAACCTTCTTAGTATGTTAAGATAAGGATCTTATTGCTTCGTAATTACAATTATTACTTAACCTATACCTATAACAGGTTAAGTAATAATTGTAATTACGAAGCAATAAGATGCTTATCTTAACATACTAAGAAGGTTAGGTAAGGTCGGTGTTTTCTATAAAGCTTTCCAAGGTAAACTAGTATGTTTAGTATGTCACATATGCACGTATTTAATAAGTCAATATTGACTATACAAAAGTGCGAGAACGGGTTGTCCTGACATAGACATGGCCTCTGTGTTGTTGGTCCTGTCCCTTTCATTCCCGTTGCTGCCTGTCTTCCTCGTTCCTCTTCTTCCTTCTACGCTCGTGTCCCTCGCTGCTGGTGCTGGGGCTGTTTTTCTAGTCCGTATGGCTTGTTCTCCTGTATCCGCTTCAGGTCGATTGACCTGCGGGGTAATATGTGAGGGGTAGTTGGACTGTTTTGCGTGTCGGTTCCTCATCAGGGCTTGACATTTGCGAGAAGCCCTGTACATGTTAGTTTACGCTTGTTTGTGTTGTGCAAACTGTCAAGGGATGTAATAGTTCTAATGTTACCTCGCCCCTCTTGTTACACCTTGTTGTGTGGTTTCGTATGTGCTTCTTGATACCTACTGCTGCCTTGCTGTTACTTTGGGGATTTCCGGGGCTTGGCGTCCCCAGGGCCCGGTCGTCGACAGGGCCTCCTCGTTGCTGGTCTGGTCGCCCTGGCTGTTTGACGCTGCCGAGTGCAGCCTGACGTATTACTTACAGCCTGGTTGTTTAGTTATCCTTTGGAGGTGTTGATCCAGTTCTCTCTTGGTCACTGTGAGGGGACTGCCTGTTTTGCCCCTTATGTGTCGTGGAGGCATGTTGAACAGTCTTGAGCCTTTGATGTTGCTGGGGTTCTCTCTGAGTAAGGGGCTCGTTTGAACTTTATCCATGTTCTGTTCCCTGCTTTTGTGCCGCCCCTGTGTTTGATACTTCCCAGTTTGCCAGGTTTGGGTTCCTGTTTTCGACTTACCCTGCCACTCAGCATTTTTCCGGATCTTGTGGTGTCACTTCTCAATAGTCTCGCATCGGGACCATTGTGTCTCCGATCTCCTGGCGAGCTTGCTGGCATTGGGAAGTTTTCTGTACGGCAGACATTCCTTCTCATTCCTTGCCAGCTTGGGTTCTGGCTCTGCTTGCTCGGTGGTCACACCTGAGGTTTTCGTGTGGCTCCGCCTCTTCCTATACTTGATTGGTCCATGGCAGGGCTGGTTGGGTTCTGCCTCGAGTATCTCACCATCTGTTGGTGGTGTCCCACCTGCGTGCTTCATCTTGGCAGTGGTGTGGGGTCTTCTTTGAAGGTCCTTCCTTTTTCTTTCTGTCCCTTCATTGGTTTGCTATGTTTTCTTGGCGTGGTCTGGTCCTTCTCTTGTGGAGGTTTGGTGCCGTCATCTTGTCACATACCGTCGCCTTGTCTCGTGCAGCGCTGGTGGAGCCGCTCCGGGTTGCTTCGGTTTTGGTAGTTGCCTCTGCACCGCCTCGCGAGCCGTCTGGCATAGTTCACCACCGGCCAGCTCTTGTGCTGCTTGAGCCGTCCTGGTTTTTGGATTCCATGCTCTTTTCTCTTCGGGTTGTGGTGGCCCTTTCGGTTCCGAGTTTTTTTTTCCGAGGCTCTTTTGTTGTTGGAGTTGGCCTCTGGGGGTTGGGTTGCTTCAAGCCCTTCTCCAGTGTCTGGGTTTTGGCTCTTTTTGGTTCTCCTGATAGGTTTGTTTGCTTGCGGCCGTCTCCTTCTTTTCTCCTCCTCCCGGTTTAGGTCCCTCTTCTTTTCATCTTTGGGTAGGTAGCTCCGGGGAGCCAATGGGGCTTTCCCCAGAAAACCAGCGTTGAATGTAAAGAAACGCCATTTTCTGGGTGAGACCCGGAGGCTCTCCGGCATCCCTGCTTCCCTCCGGTCAGCGTTTTTTCGTGTCTTTTGACATCCAGTCTCGGAAATAAAGGGTGGATACCAGGGGGAGTTGTGCAGACAACGGCGCGGTGACGTGTGATGTCATGCTCGTTTGCTTGTCTATTTGTTTGGGAGACTATCCACTTGTTCGGCTTCTGGTAGCAATTTTCACCAGAATAGAGGTCTGCTTTGGGACGCTTACCTTTCTGGGTGCCTGATCCGGTCGATGGCAGACATAGAATGCTTCCAACCACATGGGGGTTTCTATAGGCCATTGCTCTCCATGCCTCTCTGAGGGGGCCAGGTTCTGGCTCATGGTTACCTTGAGGTTACCTTGAGGTGCTTCCGGGGCTTAGCGTCCCCGCAGCCCGGTCGTCGACCAGGCCTCCTGGTTGCCGGACTGATCAACCAGGCTGTTGGACGCGGCTGCTCGCAGCCTGACGCATGAGTCACAGCCTGGTTGATCAGGTATCCTTTGGAGGTGCTTATCCAGTTCTCTCTTGAACACTGTGAGGGGTCGGCCAGTTATGCCCCTATGCAGTTATGGTCCTCGGTAGGCCCACAGAACTCCATACACATGACTGATGCCAAAGTAAGCTGACATTAGCATATCAGCCCAGTAAGCTCCAAGGTGCCTCCGTGTCTCGCGCAGAAAATGGCGTTTCATTACACTCAACGCTATTTTTTTTTTTTTTTTTTTTTTTTTTTTTTTTTACACTATTTTTGTAGACACTATATTGGACACAGTAAACGTAACTGATGTTAACCAGGTCTTTCAGTGGACCACAGAAAACATTATGATCATTGAAGATAAGTTCCAGCTCCTGTGCTATAGTAAAAACCAAGAAAATAAAACAGAAATCACATGAATTGCATTGAAATTACACTAAAGGAAGAAAAAGCAATTTAAAAACCTAGGAGTAATCCTGCTGGAAGACCGTACTTTTAAAGAACACAATAAAGTAGCTGTTACAACTGCAAGAAAACTGATGGATTTGATAACTAAAACCTTTAACAGTCAATTAAATAAAATCAAGTCCAACAGCAAACACAGTGAAAAACTTTGTACCTCGGGGCACAGTCCGGGCACCACTGCTTTTTCTCATTCTCATATTAGATATAGGTAAAAATACAAGTAACAGTTTCTTGTCATTCTTTGCAGATGATACAAAAATCAGTATAAAAATGATTTCTGTAGAAGATACTAAAGAATTAACGTCGATATTAATGAAATCTTTGATTGGTTGACGGAAATTAACACGATGTTTAACAGTAATGATATGTTCCATTATGATGTTTGATGACCTGACATTTGGTTAACATCAGCAAGCAAATACAGTATAGCATCAGGCAGGAAAATTATAAAAAGGATTGAGACTGTTCAAATCTAGGGACCCATCACAATGTTAATACCATTTTAATCACGTGTGCTGTCCCACTTTGAATACTGCTCAGTACTCTCCTGTTCTAAAAGGAAAAGTGAGATATCTGAAATAGAGGGAATACAGAGAACACATGTGGTACTTATATAAACACAATAAAGCACCAAAATTATTAGAAAGGAGATGAGAGAGGTATGAAATAATATATACATGAGGACACTAAAAGCCAGGTCTCAAATTTGCACAGCAAAATAACAACATACTGTAGCAAAAGATATAGAAGGTAATACAGAATAGAACCAGTTAGGAGTAGAGGTGCCATAGGTACATTCTGATAGTACTCTATGAACATCAGAGGTCCATGGCTGTTCAATACTCTCCTAGCAAGCATTAAAAATATTACTGGAACAAAGGTGGACTTCTTCAAGAAGCCATTACAAGTTTCTGCTAGAAGGTTGGACCAACTGGGTTGTAGTGGATATGTGGGCCTGCAGACTGCTCCAAGCACAACCACCAGTTGAACTAAGTTATCACAAGTCAAACCTGGCCCCAGGCCGGGCTCAGGAAGTAGATGAACTCCTGGAACCCTCTCCAGGTAAACCCGTCTCCAAGATATGTTAACCATTAACATTAATTTAGACAAAGTGATCTTTATGGTGGAATGCTGTTGCACACTAATAGCCTCACTCAAAGCTGGAAAAGTTGCTGATCTGGGAAATATGCTGAGAACTTTTTCTGCCCAAATCCCCTTTTTTTCATTTACCATCTTCTTATGTAAGTTTGTTTGCTTTTAATCTTTTTGAATGTTATCTAAAGAAACCTGGCCCCAGCTACTGACATCTTTTAGCAGGTTATCATTGCTTATTTATGTAAATATTTCTAAAAATGTTTTTAATCTTTTTAACAGCAAGAAAAGGAAAGAAGATTAAATGGTGGTGATGGGGGTCCTGCAGAAGATGGCAATGGAGAAGGTGCAGAAGGAGCCAGTCTTACTCGTTCACGATCTATCAATCGACATAAGCTAGTAGCTCACTCAACAGCAATGGAATCTATTCAGGCAGATTCCGATCCCATAGATGAAGAAGATCAAGTTCCGTAAGTTTGCATGGTACATGTTTGTGAAAAGGATAATCTTAACTAAGTTACCTTCCCTTTGGTAATGCTCTTTATTTGAAAGATGAATCTCATAGAATTGTCTCCTTTAGATTTTATCCACGTTTTGAAAAAGCAATTATAATATACACTGATGTAATTCTGCATGCTGATTAATCACATAAATTAACTTGCCACTTAATTGTAATAAGAGAGAAAAGCATTTAGAAAAGTCAGCATTTGCCTTCAGGGAGGCTGTCAGGTGGTACTACAATATGAAAAGGGTATAACCTCTTATAGTGCTTCCATAAATGATTAAATCAATTGCTCACTCTGTGGATATTGCTGGAAACATAATATTTTTAGTAGTACAATATCTGGAAGCAAGACTTAGTGGTTTCCTGCTTGAATGGAATAATTTGATCTGGACCCTCTTAGTTGCATCTAATTTTTACCATATTAATTTTTTAATGTGTTCTATGAATGCAGATAATAGAATATGCATTTGTGCACTTTTTGATACCAAAATCACATGGGAAACAATTTACTTCTTAACACTCTTGCTGCCCGATGCTGCATATTGTCACAGAACCAAAATACAGAGTATGCCCGATGACGCAAACGGCGTCATTAATTTTAAAAAATTAGTAGAAATTCCATTTATTGTCTGAATACTATGGGACTTATTTTAAAATGTACGTCAACTTCTGCCCATTCTCTATATACTCCATGTGGTATCCTGACCTTGCCGTGTGGGCGCCCACCCATGCTGGAGGCTCACTGTTCTTGTGACCTTGCTCATGACAGCTGCCACCTCCCCTCCAGTTGAAAAGTTTCCCCATTTCTGGTTATTTTATCTCGGATATTTGTTGTTATCGGCTTTATAAACACTGTAAATTGACTTCCAGATGGATACTAATCAAGAAAAGAGCCAGTCCATGATGAAAGCATTGAAAAAACATATATAAGGCACCAATGTATAGAATTAATGTTAATGTCAATGTTATAGAGTTTTTGTCGAAATTATAGAAATGTGAGACTTACATGTTCTTGTTTGCAAATATCCCTTTACAGCATTATATTGCGAACAATTTGATACCAAATTGAATGATGTAGCACGAAAATTGAGGTCAGAAAGCTAAAATGAGTTTAAACATTTTTGAGTGGTGGTAAGCTCTCGGCCTACCTTGCGGTGCGGGGAGGGTTTTAAAGTATAGGAAATTTAAACTTATTTGTTCTTATATGCATATATTTCTTTAGAGCAGTCTATTATAAACAGTTTGATACCAAACATAGAAGTATTACTCTTTGGAAGGGGGGAGTTCCTTTCCATTATAACATCAGGCGGTGATAACTTCTCTGGGTTACTCTCTCTCTCTCTCTCTCTCTCCTACGTTTTGCCTGCATACCACTAGGACCTGGTTGTGGTTCACTACTTGTTTGTCTCACTAAAATCCTTTCCATAGAGACTTGTTTTCCCTACATTTTAATATTTGTCTGTAGTGAGACATCACATTTATTCACTAAGAATGATCTCTTGTTTTTCCTCCATGGTCATCCTCATATGTGTTTTCTTAGGTTGAATTTACCACTGACATTCTTGGGACCCATAGCATGATAATCATTTCCTTTGTACAAAAATCTAAAAAGCACAAAAACAATTAAATTCTTTACAAGCATGATCATCACAAAGCAGGTGGCTCTAGTAAACTGAGGCGGGGTCGCCCATGCCATCAGGAATCACGCGCTCAGTCAACCCATACGTGTATCAACAAAGTCACGAGTCAAGGCCAAGGTCGTAAGTCAAATCAAATTTTCCAACGAAATTGGGGTCGTAACTCAAAAATTCGTAAGTAGGGGCATTTGTAAGTCAAGGTTCCACTGTATTAAATTGTAGGAATGTGAAGATTTCCATGTTTAACCCTTAAATGAAGGCTTATGTCATGATGAATTGTGATTCATTTTGGATGAGCTTAGCTCGTGTTATGGTTTTCTCACTAAAGTATAGAAATTTAAGGACATTAGGTTTTGCCCAAAAATACCTTAATTCCTGACGATTATTACTTAACCACTGTATTGCACAACGTACCTTTTGGCGCTTGACGGGTGGTGCGCAGCACGCCTTTTGGCACTTGACGGGTAGTGCGCAACGCGCCTCAGGGATGTTTAGAGGTATAGTGTATAGAGGAATTTCAAAACTGGCATGCGGTGATGCGGGTACGAAATGGATGCCTGAGGGTCCCAGTGATCGTCCACCATTTTGAAAAAAAATCCCAGCACTCTCCAGGGCCGTGTGGAGCCTCGGTTTCAAGGAAGCAACCATGTCTTACACATCGTCTACGAGCTCCCGCTCCACAGTCAGCCACGGTCAAGGAAAACAACTCTCTGAGGAGGAAATAGTCGACATATTGTATGATGGTTGTACGATGGATTATGATTTAGACTATGATCCAGACAAAGATCTTACACACAGGTCTGACACGAATGAGAATGAGGTAGACGATGTTGCGAGTGTGTACAGTACACGCGCCTCACCCAGCCTGTTTCGCCGCTCTGGGTCAACACAGCTAGAGTCACCTTGTGTGTCCTCTGATGTTGGGTTATTCAGAAACAGTACATGTGATGAATCATTCTCGGGCTTCAGTGACATAGGCTCCAATACAAATAGTGTTGACGACTCGAGTATGAGCATTGAGGGTGTTATTAGGCGGGGTTTGCTGCCCCAGCAACATGCCAAGGCAAGTGCCAGCGTGTCATGTGGCCAGAGGACAATGACGGCAGTGTTTCCACAACATCAGGTGTTCGTGGTAGGCCTACACTACGCAGAACAGTCTCATCTCCTGGCATACCTATACGCAGCTCTAGCACAAGATGACAGAGCCGTGTTTTTGGTGTTCGTGGTGGTGTTGGCCGTGGTGTTGGCGCCAAAACCAAACTCACAGGTGTACTTGAGACATTTGTCCCACAAATACCAACCTTTGATAGTACCGATGTTGGTGTAACACCGTTATTCCCCTATACAGGTGAAAATATGGGTGAAATAGACTATTTTATGGCATATTTTGATAATGAATTCATGGCCCATCATATGGCAGAGACAGATATGTTGACCAGACCACACACTAGAAGGTGAAGGGACGACGACATTTCGGTCCATCCTGGATCATTCTCAAGTTGATTGTGATGAGGAAGTAGAGACAGGCAGTAAATAGGCAAGAGAGAAATGAGGAGCAAAGTGTAGTAGAGGGAAAGCAGTAGGAATAAGAACTGCAGAGGGCCTATTGGCCCATACGAGGCAGCTCCTATTATAACCACCGAATGAGGAGGAGATAGTAATAGGAATAAGAGGAGGATAGCAAAGGAACGTAGAAGACAGTGAACAGAAAAAAAGAGAGAAGAGAGAAAGAAAAGGAAAGAGAAAGAAAGATAAATGGAAGGGTAAGCTTATGTTAGGTCACGTTTGTTAGAAAGATTAGAGCATTTGAGTATATACTGTGAAAGGGAAGAGTCCACAGCAACAAAGCCAGGACTCAAGTTCATGTTGGGTACATTATCCATTAGAGCCGATTCAACAAGACGGCGTCTGTGTAGTGTAGAGGCAGAAAAGATTATTTTGGAGGAAGACCAATCAATGGGATGATTAGAATCCCTCACATAACAGAAGAGAGCATTGTTAGTGTCTACAGACTTAACACTTCTCTTGTGTTCTTTAAGTCTGTCATTAAGTGTACGGCCAGTTTCGCCAAAGTGTTGAAGAGGACAAGACGAACAGGAAATAGAGTAGACACCAGCAGCATTAGAAGCAGGAGGAGCAGTGTGAACTAGATTGCTACGAAGTGTGTTAGTTTGTCGAAAGGTGAGTTTAATGTCAAGAGGACGAAAGGTATTGGTAAAAATTTTGAGTTCAGATATGAAGGGAAGGCATAGTACAGTGCTACTAGTGTTGAAAGCAGGTTTAGGATAAAAGAAATTTTGTTTAGCTTGAGAGTAGGCACAGTTGATGAAATGCAAAGGGTAACCAAGGCAAGAGAATGATTTGTAGATTAAGGCAATTTCAGAATCAAGAAACTGAGGGTCACTGATGCGTAGAGCGCGGAGGAAGAGAGAGACGAGGACACTTTTCTTAACAGAAGGAGGATGGTAGGAAAAGAAGTGAATGTACATGCCACTATGCATGGGTTTGCGGCACACAGAGAAAGAAAACCCGGACACAGAGCTGTGAACGTCAAGAAAAGGAAGGAGGGAATTAGATTCGCACTCAACTTTGAAATGGATAGAAGGAGCCAGATTGTTAAGAGAGGAGAGGAAAGGCTGGAAAAGACTAAGGTCATGAGGCCATAAAGCAAAAATGTCATCAACATAGCGAAGCCAGAGAGAGGGACGAGTATCAATAGAAGGAAGAAGAACAGTTTCGAAGTATTTCATATAGAAATTAGCAAGAACAGGGGAGAGAGGGGAACCCATAGCCACGTTATTGTGACTCATCGCCTGCACAGACAGATATGCTCACAGCTTCATATATCCAACCACTTGGGCTGGACGGTAGAGCGACGGTCTCGCTTCATGCAGGTTGGCGTTCAATCCCCGACCATCCAAGTGGTTGGGCACCATTCCTTACCCCCCGTCCCATCTCAGATCCTTATCCTGACCCCCTTCCCAGTGCTATATAGTCGTAATGGCTTGGCGCTTCCCACCCCCCCCCTGATAGTTCCCTTGATAGTTCACAGCTTCATAGACACCGGCATTTTACCAGCCTCTCGTATGACACAATCGAAAGACACGACAAATGAGGAAATGTATGTGTTTCTGGCATTGAGCATGATCTCTTCTTGAGGTTATCTTGAGATAATTTCAGGGCTTAGCGTCCCTGCGGCTCAGTCCTCGACCAGGCCTCCCGTTTGTTACACATCCCCAGGAAGCAGCCCGTAGCAGCTGTCTAACTCCTGTGTACCTATTTACTGCTAGGTAACAGGGGCATCAGGGTGAAAGAAACATTTTGCCCATTTGTCTCCTCCTCCATCGGGGATCGAACCCGGAACCTCAGGGCTATGAATCCGAAGCGCTGTCCACCCAGCTGTCAGGCGCCCAATGATGAAACATTGAGAAACACATCATCCAGGATTATTGGAGCAAAGACAGCCTTGTTCCGTCCACCGTGTTCAACAAGTACATGTCGCATGATAGATTCCTGTTGTTTCTCAGGTACCGTCACTTTGAGAACAATGATAATGAAGACAGACAGGATAGACTTTGGAAGGTGCGGAAGATTTTTAGTGATATGAGAGGAAAGTTCTGTGACTATTTTGTACCCGGACTGTATAAAACTGTTTGTGGTGATTGATGAATCTCTAGTCCTCTTCAAGGGACGACTTGCGTTCAAGCAGTAAATCTCATCAAAGCGGCACCGGTTTGGACTCGAAGTTTTTCGTGCTATGTGACTGCGAAACTGGTATCGTCATGGACATGATACTGTATGGTTCTCCACACGGGTTTTCCGGCAGTGTTGTCAAAGCTCTCATGAAACCGTTGCTGAACAAGGGGCATATTCTGTTCACAGACAACTACTATACCAGCCCCTTGTTGACCAGATACCTCCTTGACCACAACACCGGCGTATATGGCACTGTGAAGGCCCACAGAAGGGAAATGCCAGAGTTTGGCATTGGTATTTCAGTGGGTGATTGCCAACTGTAAAAGTGTGACAAAATATTATCAGTGCACTGGAGAGACAAATGTGAGGTAGGAATGTTAACAACAATTCACACTGGTGCCATGTTGGACAGTGGCAAAGTGCACTTTGCAACAAGATTGCCAATGTACAAACCTGATTGTGTCAGACTACAATGTCAACATGCAGCTAGTTAATAAATGTGACATGATGATTGGTGCTGCTGAGTGCGTGCGTAAATCTGTGAAGTGGACGAAGAAATTTTTTTCCTCCTCAATGACTGTTTCAATATGTATTTCATGAAATCAAGCAAGAAACCCCCAATTCGGATATTCAGTGGTGCTCTAGTTTCACAACTGCTCATGATGACATCTTCAAGAGGAAACTAGATTGTTTCCTCCAAGGAGTGCCGGATCAACCGGGCTGTGGTGGGTATGTGGGCCTGCGGGCCGCTCCAAGCAACAGCCTAGTGAACCAAACTCTCACAAGTCAAGCCTGGCCTCGGGCCGGGCTTGGGGAGTAGAACTCCCAGAACCCCATCAAACAGAAAACCAGGTTTGGGAAGGAGGGCTCAGTTGCAATGCGTGGGGTGCCATCAAGAACGCATCATTATTTTTCCTGAATCCTACAAGAAAAGAAAATACAAAATTATGGTGTAACTTTATCCAAGTTTCAGGAACTTGTATAAATAATAGCAGAATTTAATTAGTTTTAAATTCTGTATATTCAGGAAAGTATATGAATGTGTTATATATTTTTTTAAATATTCATGAATGTTTGCAAAGCTGAAACATACAAAATCTAATTTGTTCAATATTTTGAGAATGTGTTGACCTACCTACCTACCTTGTGGAGGTTCCGTGGATCAACGTCTCCTCGGCCCGGTCCTTGCCCAGTCCTCGTTGCTGGACTGGTCAACCAGGCTGTTGGACGCGGCTGCTCGCAACCTGACGAATAAGTCACAGCCTGATTGATCAGGAATCCATTGGAGGTGTTTATCAAGTTCTCTCTTGAACAAAATCTTGAGCCTTTGATACTGATAGTTCTCTCTGTGTACCTATCGTACATCAACATTTCAATGGGGGGCTCTTTCGCACAGGTTTCATCGGATGTTATTTTCATGTACAGATTTGAAACAAGTACCTCTTAATATTTTCCATGTGTAGATCATTGTGTATATCTCTTGTCTGCGCTCTAGAGAATACCAATTTAGAACTTTTAATCGGTCCCAGTAATTTAGATGTTTTATAGAGTGGATTCCAGCAGTAATAGTTCTTTTTATGTACCAGAGCTGAGAGAATTGCACCCTCTTAGCAATTTAAAATTTTGGTTTTAAACCAAAATTTTAATAATTCATCTATATTTGGGGTTATTAAAAAATCTTATTCACGTAAAATTTGTTATAGGCCTGGTGGTATTCCTGCAAGAAATGCGAAAGGAGAGCGATTATTGCTTTTCTTGGGCATCATCGATATTCTTCAAAGTTTTCGACTAAAGAAAAAACTTGAACACACCTTCAAATCAATGATCCATGATGGGGTGAGTCTAATGAGATCATTTTAAATAATGCAGAAAGTGATTTGTTAGCATTTCATTTCCTTACCATCTTTATTGTAACCTGAGACTAGGAGTTTTAAATTAAAAATATTTTATTCATATTCTTTGGAAACCTAATCAAGATGAACAAATCCACAAAGGCCACAACGAGGGTTCTAACCTACGTCTGGGATCCTCTTGAACGTAGGTTCGAACCCTCGTCACGGCCCTTGTGGATTTTTTCTTTTGATGCATCACACTATTGTGATTTCAATGTCTAATTAGGATATTTTAGCTTCTCCTTTGCTGAAAATTGTGTTGCATTGGAGGTACTTATATCAGATTGTGTTATTTTACATTTCTCCATAGTTAGTGCTGATAACACTGATTAGAATGATGTTATCCAAATTTAAGGATTGCTGTACAGTGTACTTTGGAGAAAACTGAAATAAACTATTATATTAAAAACAGGGGCACCTTTATTTTGACACTTTTATAAATAGTTTTTAACCTAATTCTTGACACAAAAGAATGAATGATATAGTGGACAAACTATATTTTGTTACAACTTAAGATACTTTGTTGAACAATATATATATATATATTTTCTGTATTATATATATTATGTATATTTTATATATATATATATATATATATATATATTGTGACGGTAACGCGTTGGTGTTCGGCTGTTTAAGGCTAGGGGTATGGCCTCGTCACATAGTTATAAAAAAAAATAGAAAAACTGGAACTTCGTCTGTGGTAAGGTAAGGAGAAGACACACAAAACACAAGTAAACTTTAACAATGAAATTTTAATGACGTTAAATAAATCAAAACATGAAAATAATGCACAAACAAATTCTTATAATAAAATCAATCAATCAAAATAATAAGAATACTTGAATGACACAATGAAAAGTTACGTTAAGGCAAAATAACAAGAAGTGCAACACAAGTTAAGTGGGAGGTGCTGGAATATTGGCTTAAAGCCACCACCTCTCTCAGTACACGCTAACGTCTAGCTGGGAGGTGTGATGGCCACGAAAGCACTGAACATTCTGAGGACTGATGTTGGGGCGACCCCAGACATCAGGTAGTATGGGGGGGCGAGTGCAGGTGCAGCCAGACCGGCGACCAATCAGCGCAGCCGGCAGCGATCAACATGTAGTTTGGTGATTTGGGTCCGAACAGGTGGCTGGCTGCATACGTTTTTGCTCACCCTGGCAAGCCTTGCTGGTGTTGTTGTCGTTGTTGGACATTTCTTCCATAGTCTTTTTATATAATTGTGAAGACGTAATTATGGAGGGAAGAGCAGGCTCAATCTCTTGAAGGAGATTATCGTCACAACTCTCCCCCGAAGCCTGCGGTTCTGGAAGAAGTACGTCGTTATGTGGTGGGGTATTAGATGGAGTTGCTTCTACTTCATAAACTCTGGAGAGATCATGGGCTAAGATGTTGTCAGACTCTTGGTATAGCGTGTCTCCAGGTTGAATTTCTGCAGTTAGCAAGCCCATAGTAGAAGACGTTGAGATGAGAAGTGGGCGTGCTGCAGGAGGTGTAGGGTGGTGTGGTCCGTATTGATGGTGGACCGAGCACTTTTCAGGTGTGGAGTGAAGTGCTGAAGCTTCAGGATGAGGAAGAGTAGCTCCTTGCCAATTGTTCCGTCGTTCCTTGTAGCAGTAGTCGCTGACAGGTGTATTCTTCTCGCCTCGTTGCTGCATCACGACACCACCATCGTCGGTACCATTGGCGTCGACATGGAGGATGTAGGGCTTATCTGACGAGGTGAGAGTGGAATTAGAAGAGGGCATAGGAGCACGAGTATTATCCTGAAAGCATTTGGGAAGATCATTAAGGATTTTGGAATTAGAAAGCGCCGACTCCTTGTCAGTGCTTTCGGGAGAAGAAGCCGGGATGGTCTCACTGTGGATGTAGGGTTCTGTGAAGGTAGAACAATTAATCAAGACAGTGGGAGGAGTACCATTATATTGCTTCAGGAGGTTGACGTGGCACAGCTGGGTCTTCCGCCGCCTATCTGGAGTCTCTATCACATAATTATTATTATTCCTGCACTCTTTGACGCAGTAGGGTCCTGAAAATCTGTTTTGTAAAGGTGAACCTGGGATAGGGAAATAAGCAAGGACGAAGTCTCCCGGCTTGAATTTTCTTACTTTGCTGGTCTGGTCGTAATGAGTCTTCATTCTCACCTGGGCTTTCAATAGATTATCATGAGCAAAGCGGTGGACTCTCTCTAGAATGTGTTGAAGGTTTTGAAGAAACTGGGGCACATTCTGATGCTCACTGAAGGTGGCATCTCTGAGAGAGTCTTTGAAAGCCTTAAGGGGAGTACGGCACTTACGGCCGTAGAGCATCTCATAAGGAGATACTCCTAGGGACTCATTGGGGAGACTTCTGAAAATACACATTATAAGGTCAATCTGCTTATCCCAATCCTTCGAGGTTTCACTACAAAACTTTTTCAAGAGTGCTTTGATGGTCTGATGACTACGTTCAAGAGAACCCTGTGAAGCAGGATGATAGGGGCTGGACAATACCTGTTTGATGTTGAACTCCTCCAGTGTCCTTTTGAAGAGATCACTGGTGAAGTTGGTGCCACAGTCACTTTGAATCTCCCTGGGAAATCCGTATTGAGTGAAGATCTTCAATAGATGTTTGATAACCGTAGCAGCCGTGATGTTCTTCACTGGAACTGCTATGGGAAATCTGGTGGTAGGACACAGGATGGTTAGGATGTAGGCGTTACCTGAACTGGTCCGAGGTAAAGGACCAACACAGTCTATTATGAGTCTGTGGAAAGGTTCCACAGGCACCTGTATGGGAATCAGTGGTGCTCTGGGAATGGAGACGTTCGGTTTGCCTGCCATCTGACATGTATGACACTGTTTTACGTACTGTTTGACGTTATTTACCATACCTGGCCAGTAGTAGTCTTGACGAATCCCATGGTAAGTCTTGTTGAAGCCGTAGTGGGAGAATGCTCCGTGGGCCAGGTGTAGAATAGTGGGCCGCAGGCTGGTGGGAATCACAAGTTGTTCGATGTTGGCCCAATCGTCCTCCTCCTTCAGTTTACTGGGTCTATATCGGCGGTAGAGCAAGTCGTTCTCTAGGAAGAACCCAGGAATACTGTCGGGTTGAGTCTCAGCCTGGAAAAACAATGGTGTTAAAGTAAGATCTTCCCTCTGCAACTTACGGAACTCCAACTTGGTCAGATGCGGGGGTAGTTTCTGAGGGTCTTGAGGGACAGCGGTAGCAGTAGAGTCAGCTGGCTGTGGACGTGCGGCTTGTGCACGGGTGGTCACGAGAACCGGAGGAGAAACTTCATCACTCTCTTGAACCTCTGCTGGAACATACTCGAGAATAGGATTTATTGGCACAGAGTTACACACCTGAGGTTTGTCCATGACGATCAGGTTGGTCGGTTGCAGGTCTTCTGCCAAGTCGTTGCCTAGGAGAAGTTGCACTCCAGGCATGGGAAAAGGCTTTTCCCTGACGGCGACTTGGACTTCCCCGTTCACGTAGGGACAATCCAGGTGGACTCTGGCGAGAGGGTATGGAGTGGTAGCAGTGAGGTCAGTGATGAAGACTGTTTCCCCGGTGTAGACTATGTTGGGCACAGCCGACTTCAAGATGATCGATTGCAGAGCCGCTGTGTCCCTCAAGATCTTCAATTTGAAACGTCCCTCCGGATTTGAACCGTTGGCAGAGACAGTTCCAGTATACAGGTGGTTACTGAAAAGAGAAAGATCATTAACATCAACACCAACATTCATCACAGGCTTACCGGACTTAGGAGGAGTTGGTTTGGGTCTTTGTTGGTCAGTGGTTCCCTTGTATTGAGACTTACCACATTTGTCTATGGTATGTCCATAGAGTCTACAATATTTGCAGTACAGTTGTGAACCAGCTTGATCGGGGCTCACCTTCTCGTAACTGTACCACGACTTCTTACTGGAGGATGGTTCAGGTGTCAGCCGGTGGATGAGGCTGTAAGTGTCAGCCGACTTAGCACACTTCAGGTAGTCGGTTTCTTCTTTATCTGCTAAGTAGAGGCGGACAGGAGGCGGCACACGTCTCAAGAATTCTTCAACAAGCATCAGGTTGACGAGTTCTGTAAAAGTAGAGACATGTGCTGCTTCCAGCCATTTCATGAAATACCTCCGTTTCGTGTTAGCAAACTCGAGGAAGGTAGTGGTACTTGCCTTCAGGTGGTCACGGAATTTCCTTCTATAACTTTCTGTGGAAAGTAGGTAGGCGTCTAACACTGCTTGTTTCAGAGTGTAGTAGTCATTCTCAGACGCCAAAGTACTGAGTGTGACTGCAGCTCTACCTGTAAGATGGACTCTGAGAAGTGTGGCCCATTGGTTGACAGGCCAACTGAGTTGATTAGCAAGGGTTTCAAAGGTGGTGAAAAAAACATCAACTTCTGCTTCTACAAAGGATGGCATTAACTTACTTGCATGTGATATATTAAAACTGACGGGAAGATTGGCAGTAGCTTGCTGGCGTTGGGTGAAGTGTGAAGTTTCCAAGGAGATTTCGCGTTGACGACACTCTAGAGCCAGAGTCACTTGTTGCTTGTCATGTTCGCGTTGTATTTCCAACTCGCGTTGTTTGGTTTCAAGCTGTACTCGTTCACGTTCACGGAGTAATGCGACCTCGCGTTCGTGTTCTTCTCTCCTCAAAGCAGCTTCACGTTCTCTGAGGGTGATTTCTCGTTCTTGTTCTTCCCTCCTCAAAGCAGCTTCGCGTTCTTGTTCGTCTCTCCTCAAAGCAGCTTCGCGTGCTTGTTCTTCTCTTCGTATGGCAGCAGCTCGTTCTTGTTGTTCGAGGGCTTCCCTTTGCTGCTCACGTTCAATCTTGGCCAGCTCTAGTTTGAGTTTCAGCGTTGCCAAATCAGTTTTATCTGCAATATAGTAAGTTTCATGAGTTTCAGAGTCTATCTTACCTTGCTCTAAATAGTAATCCAGCAACAGGTTGTGTAGGTCATTTTTGTTGGCTTGGTAGGGAACTTCTAGTTGATACTCATGTGCAAGAGTTTGTAATTCAGTCCTCTTGGCACGACTTAAAGTCCCTATTTCACCTGCTGGATTTGCACGGAAAGTTTGGAGACGAAACATGGTGAAATTAGCAAATAAAGGTACACGAATGTTCAATAATGAAATGTCAGAAACAGGACAACGTGGCAACTGGCACCTATCCTGTGTGATCTTTAACAATTAACGTTAAGTGAAAGATATTAAATGATTAAATTAAATCAAGGGCGCAGGAAATCTTGTACCCGGTACTCATGTAAGAGAATAAGGGCAAGAAAATCCTACTAACAAATGAAACAAAGTTTCGAAAACAAATGAAACAGTTAAATGCTTCAAAAGTAAAATTGGTAGTCCAAGGATGTAGGCATACCTTGCCAAGTCTCTATAGGACATAAAGCAAGTTTTTCCTACTGAATTTAATATGATACTTACAGAATTAGCGAACTTTTGTGCTCTGAAAAAATAAGCTAATTCCCTACCGTTGTATGTATCATCATCTCTGACTGACGTGTAGGGGTGCGAGGTGTCAACTGGTGACGAGAACTGCTGCTGAGGTCCCAATTCAGCAACTAAAGTTCGAGCTAGAGGAACTATGGCCCTCTTTGTCCTCCTACAGTCAGATTGCAGAAGATTGGGTACTCTTGACCCGGGGCAGACCACAGTACCAGGGTACCAATATGATGATCTGTCAGAATGAGAAATATTCAAGGGACATAGATGGTAAACACGAGTAATAACATGGAGGGAGAGATGACCAATTAAGAGTATGACTGCGGCCTACAGTCACCACGTAATCCAAAGTTGTCTCACCTTCACTATATGTTACTCTCGTAATGCACAATACACCGCACCTTATAAAAAATGAAATTGAATGAAAAATAGTAAAGCTACGTTAACAAAGTTAAATACGCTTACCATAAATTACCACTTGGCACCAGTACCTGAGTGAAGATCCCGGACAGGCCCCCATATAACTTGTGACGGTAACGCGTTGGTGTTCGGCTGTTTAAGGCTAGGGGTATGGCCTCGTCACATAGTTATAAAAAAAATAGAAAAACTGGAACTTCGTCTGTGGTAAGGTAAGGAGAAGACACACAAAACACAAGTAAACTTTAACAATGAAATTTTAATGACGTTAAATAAATCAAAACATGAAAATAATGCACAAACAAATTCTTATAATAAAATCAATCAATCAAAATAATAAGAATACTTGAATGACACAATGAAAAGTTACGTTAAGGCAAAATAACAAGAAGTGCAACACAAGTTAAGTGGGAGGTGCTGGAATATTGGCTTAAAGCCACCACCTCTCTCAGTACACGCTAACGTCTAGCTGGGAGGTGTGATGGCCACGAAAGCACTGAACATTCTGAGGACTGATGTTGGGGCGACCCCAGACATCAGGTAGTATGGGGGGGCGAGTGCAGGTGCAGCCAGACCGGCGACCAATCAGCGCAGCCGGCAGCGATCAACATGTAGTTTGGTGATTTGGGTCCGAACAGGTGGCTGGCTGCATACGTTTTTGCTCACCCTGGCAAGCCTTGCTGGTGTTGTTGTCGTTGTTGGACATTTCTTCCATAGTCTTTTTATATAATTGTGAAGACGTAATTATGGAGGGAAGAGCAGGCTCAATCTCTTGAAGGAGATTATCGTCACAATATATATATATATATATATATATATATATATATATATATATATATATATATATATATATATATATATATATAATATTATGTATGTTATATATATATTATATGTTATATATATATTATATGTTATATATTATATATGTTATATATATTATATATGTTATATATATATTATATATAACATATATGTTATATATATAATATATGTTATATATATAATATATATATATATTATATATGTTATATATATATTATATATAACATATATGTTATATATATAATATATGTTATATATATAATATATATATATATTATATATGTTATATATATATTATATATAACATATATGTTATATATATAATATATGTTATATATATAATATATATATATATTATATATGTTATATATATATTTATATATATATTATATTATTATATATATATGCGAACAAGCCAGAATGGTCCCCAGGACTATATGTAACTGAAAACTCACACCCCAGAAGTGACTTGAACCCATACTGCCAGGAGGTTATCTTGAGGTTATCTTGAGATGATTTCGGGAATTTTTAGTGTCCCCGCGGCCTGGTCCTCGAACAGGCCTCCACCCCCAGGAAGCAGCCCCTAACAGCTGACTAACACCCAGGTACCTATTTACTGCTAGGTAACAAGGGCATAGGGTGAAAGAAACACTGCCCATTGTTTCTCGCCGGCGCCTGGGATTGAATCCAGGACCACAGGATCACAAGTCCAGCGTGCTGTCTGCTCGGCCAACCGGCTCCCTGGAGCAAGACAACTGGTATATACAGGACGCCTTAATCCACTTGACCATCTCGACCGGATATAAGGTGGTGATAGCCGAAGATATTTGAACATAGCTATCTGAGACATTGCTCTCAGCCGCGCGAGTTCACAGTAAGCAATGCGGTCACATCGCCAGGCGCAGTACATTCTAGGTTCGTGGGGAAAAAAAAAATACCTATTGCCTATACTATAAAAGGTATTTAATAAGAAAACAAAGAATTTTGCTTCATAAAAATTGGCTTTTCAAGGGCCATTGCTCCCTGAAACCTCTCTGAAGGGACCAGGTTCTGGCTCGTGGTCCCTGGTAGGTGGAACTCCATAGCTAATGTCCCGGTCTAATATAAAACACACTAGCCCAATAAGCGAAGGTGAGCCTTCGAGGCTCGGCCAGAAAATGGCGTTTCATTATATTCAGCACCGGGTTTTTTTTTGTGCTCTTTGTAATTTTTTTTTTATATTTACTGTTTTTATGACTATCTTGTTTCTTTTATTTGATCAGTCCAATATAGTATAGTGATTTCACTCACAGTTGTCATCTTTTGTTTCTTATTGCACTTTCATGTGTGCTTTAATTTCATTTACATTGTAATTCAGCGTAGTATTTACTTGCATCATATTACTAATATTCTTTTGATAACCCTTGGTATAAAATATAAAACTATGTAGTAAAGTAAAATGCTATCCAACATTTCAGAACATACTTTTAGCCTTATTGTCCCTTAATCTAGTAATTTTCTTCAAGGGCACAGTATTGTCAAGTGTTAACCTGAGTTGCATTATTACAGGATACTATATCAGTTCATCGACCTACTTTCTACGCTCAGAGGTTCCTAAAGTTTATGGAACACACTGTCTTCAAGAGAATTCCATCACGTAAGTTGTTGTTGTTGCATTTTAATAAATGTATCTTTAGCAATGTTCAATGATGTTCATATCCTTTTCACATATGAAGTATATTGTGGACAGTGTGTGCATTAACCCCGTGTACAAAGCTATAATCTTAATGCTTACAAGTTAGTGCAGCAGCAGTACCCAAGTCCTGAGTAAGTAATTTACTTTCTGAAGTTTGAGGATTTGCCTAGAGCTCAACGAATACTCCTTATTGGGACGTGAAGCTAAATAATTTTGAAAACTGCCTAATTGCTGTTAATTACCCTTACTTGTACAGTACATGGAAGATTTGACAAGTAATCATGGAACAAAAATTTTGCTATGAATTCTGTTAAGCAATATGGTGTTTTTGGCAAGATGTGGTCTTGCCTGTGATCTTCATAATAAGCAGTAATTACTACATTTGCCTTTAAGTACTAAGTGGAATTTTATTTCATAATCTCTTTTAATTACAGTATAAAATTTTGATAAATCTACTATATATAAATTGTAATTAATTCTGATTACAGTAATTTGTTAAAATCTTCCTTTTAACTTATCGCTATATTTGAGGTGATGTGCTAGTGCATTAACATTTCAGTAAGCTAAACAGTTTTAAATGCTTGCTATTTCTATAATTATGATTAGGAAATTTGCCTATATATTAGACAGTGATTGAAATAGTTAACTATTGTTGACATGTAACGAGTTCGATTTGGTGTCATTGAATATCCCAAAGACCTTGTTTGAAATGGAATCCTTGGTTTAAACAGATAGGATATTAACACCTTGGCAGTAAGAATCATCACAAATACATATCTAAATATCATTCCTTTTATGTAGGTTCTGTACATATTGTACCTGTGATATTCATATACAGATCTCACAAAACAATATAGCAAAACTATTAACCGCTTACACTCTGAGGTAATTATTGTCTTGTGAAGTGTGTTGTAATGATATGAAGCTTGGTTTACTTCAATTATGCCTTATATCTGATTAATGTTTGTGAAGATTTCTTTACTAAGTGTATAACTGTCTAGAAAATGAACTCTTAATATAGTTGTAAATATTAAATGGTTATAAAGTTCTCTTGAAATGGCATTTTTTTTTTACATTAAGTAAGTTTGTCATTAAATATTCTGGAGCTCAAGTCCGTTCAACCTTTTCCTGGAATGAGGAAATTTTGTTAGCCATCTTTATTAGGTTTTGACTTTTAGGTATATTGTTATATGAAAAAGTTCTGCATTTGATGGTAAAGACCTGGTTGTAAAATGATTGGGGGGTTGTGTTCCAGAGAAAACTAGCAGGGATAAGGTTTAAGAGATTGAGAAAATTAATTGTAGTAATGAGGTGACACTAACCAGCGATCAAGGTACTCCCAGCTGTGCACCTTACCCCTGTGCCACGATATGGCATAAGTTACATAACCTGGAATTCCATCAAATCCACAGGAAGTCTGGAGGCTTCTACTGAAGCCAGTAGTTTTTTTATGTAAAACCTCCAGCCCAATATTACAGTTGGGTACAATTTTGTACAGTTTTATATATAACCTCCTTGCACTCTGGCGAGGGTAAAGTACGATAGTTGATCAGCCGTACGCTCCAGCTTTAGATACACAAATAAATCACACTAACATGATATATATCAATATTGCTCCAAAGATTTTCTCATTGATATATATGAGAATATCAAGAGGTAGAACTGTGGAAATGAACAAACTTGGATGCATTTGAGGTGTTAGGAGGATAAAACAAGGAATTATAATGTTACATTACTAGGGGAAGTTTGGAAATGGTTAAATCTGATACAAGTAAATAATTAGTGTAAATAAAGAGTAAATAACAGGTGTATATTAGAATATTTATTTAGGCAGAAGGGGAAGGCAAAGAAAATGGGACAGGTAGGGTGACTGAACATGCGAGGAGGTGGGAATTGAATGTAATTGGCACATGATAAATGGTGGGGAATTAGGGTAGGTGCAATCAGTTTAAGAGAGATTGTTTTTATTATTTGTTTCACATACCATATATTTTTTATCTAACAACTCATCGGAAATACTTTACACCTGTTCCAGTGGTTTCCAACTTTTTGAGGTCAACTTCATCCAATATAAAAAAAAAAATTCAGACTCCCTCTCCCATTTTGTTGATCTGTAAGCAGAACAAACAAATTATCTTGATTAAATTTTTTTTTTTTTTAACATTTTTTTATTTTTTTTATTTTCACTTCTCCCAACAACCCCCTCCCCAATATTTTTTTTTTTTTTTTTTTTTTTTTTTTTTTTTTTTTTTTTTTTTTCTCTCTCTCTCTAATACTTTGAGAAACACTCATTGTGTTGACTTGAAACACAATATTATGTATGGTCATAAAACTTGAGTTCTTGTCATTATTTGGCAGTTATGCTAAGTGGCAACTTTTTTGTATTTACATAACAGTATTGTTGTAGTATTTTCATTTTTGTATTTTTTTTTTGTTCTGCGATGCATAATTTGATATGTCAAAGGGATACCTTGAAGTTTATGGAGAAAGTAGGCAAAGTGTAAGGCAGGATAATGATATAAGATTACACAAAATTATAGAGAAATTCATTATTAATAAAGATGATGGAGTCTGTGATTTAAGAGTGTGTGCCAATCAGATATTTGCATAGACAGCTTGTGAAGAATGTGTGAGGGATTGTATTTTGTTCATTGAATTTATGAATTTGAAAAAAAATAATTTAACAGACTTGCTCAAAAAGGAAGTTGAGTAATGAATGTGTGTTTGAGCTGACCATCTGGAACTGCAGGCATATGTCTCTGTGTAGAGAAGTGCCTGCCTTTATACAGTACTGGGTGAGGTGGTGAGTGTGTGTAGGGTAGCTGGGTGTAGTGCTTACTTGTTACTAACCATGGGGGAGTGAGATCTAGGTTTTTATCCCCCACCTAGCCCTTTATACTTATATAGAATTGTCTTCAACAACCTCTTCCCTTAATGAATTCCACTTTCCTTTTGCCCATACAGGGAATGAAATCTTCCTTACATCCCCTTGACTCCACTGCATATTCAGCTTCCACAGATGTCCCTTGTCCTATCTCTCTTTAATTTAAATAGGCTACCTTTATTCATTTGATATGTTCCCCTCAAGATCTTGTACATAGTTATCATATTCCTTCTGTATCTTCCTTCCTCTAAGGTTATGAGGCTCGACTCTCTAACTATCCTCATAGGAGAGTCCCCTCAATTCTAGTACTAAACATGTTCAAACCTCTGAATATTCTCACCTCAGTTTATGCTTCATGAGGTGTGGGTTCCATGCTGGAGCTGCATCATTAAGTAATAAGTCTCACATAGGCAGTGTGTATGGACTTGAAAGCCTCCATGTTGAGAATCTTAAGTTACTTTGTTTGCTGACTTCCCATGCACTTCTGAAGTTATCCTGTTCACACAAATTTCTGGTGTAATGTTTGGGTTATGTCTACTCAGAAGTTTTTTCTCTTACTGTTTCTTGTAATTACCTTCCCCCTTTATGGTTTAGTTAAATTTGGGGGTGGGGGTGGGTGGGGAGAAGGAAGCATTCATGTCCGCCAATATGATAGTCCCCCGGGCACTCTAGGTTCACTCCCGCTGACATGATTTGTGCAAGGTCTCGACTCATTGATCACATAGGTTCAGTGAATAAAGAATAAAAATTAAATAAAAAAAACTCTTTGCCCTATTTTACTCTGGAGTTCAAGAACTCATCTCGTACTGTAATAGTTCTTCAAACAAGCTCTTAGTAGACCTGCGAGAGGGGGAAAGGTGGGTGGCTATTGCAGGAGACATGCCGAGTACACGGCCTGTCATTGGGTACCAGGATGGGGAGAGCACCATGTTCCTTATGAAGCTGCAGCCCAGAGTTTTCATCCCTGAGTTTGCCAACCCTCTCCACTTTCCCTACATCCTGGCTGTTCTGTACAGTAGTCCATCCTGCTATTATTATTAAAAATGGTGATTCAATTTTTTTTTTTATATATAATCTTTGAAAGTTGATGTTACAGCCAGTGTCTAGGACCTTGCTGATTAAGATAATGTTATTTTGAGTAGATTCTTATTCCCTTTTATCTGTAATATTCTATTTGTTTCCCTTGGAATATCTAATACAAACTTGGTCTTTGTGATATAGTATGGTGTAAATTGTGAAAAAAATGTTTATTGAAGTAAAACGGTGTCATTCCTCAGAAATATCTTTACTGAATATATATTAATGTTTTTAATTACTTTTGTAAACTAGCTGGTCATACTACAAACACTATAAATACTTCTCTTGTCTTTTATACTGGAACATTTATCATAATGGTATAACTAAAAGACTATTATTTTATTAAAGAGGTCCCAGGCATAATTTTAATTAATGAATACAAAATTTTAGATTAATCGAAGTTAAATAATATTTTGATTCATCTCCACTTATTAATAGATTATTATCATTAATTCATTGTCATATTGTAATTGTTATTCAGTTAAGCATTTGGCTTACCTCAAAACTTAAAGAAATATTTAATTATTGCTGCACTATGTAGACGTTCAGAATTTCATAAATAACTGATCACTTGTTCTCACATTCTTTGTAGACCTTATTAAAAGTTGACAATTTTAGAGCAGGTATCAAACATTTAATTACAATGAAAACTCTGGATACAGTATGCGATCCTGCATATTTTGAATGAGAAAGCTCTTGTGAAGTTTTAAATAATTCTCCCAAAATCGTGATGGGGTCAATGTTGCACACTTTGGGATAGATGTTGTTTTACTGAAGACCTGTTGGCAGTGCTGTATCATAGATTGACTGTGGCCTTTTCTTTCTCATGCTTGTGTCTGTGATATGACTGACAATTTGAAGCATTGTCTAGTTCATGGGCAAGACTTTCCTTACTTTTTTAATTCGTTTCACCGGGAAAGTACTTAGCTCAGAACATTAGCCGAGGCCTGAGATTGCTTGGTTGTGTCACGTGTATTATGTTTTCATGTTGCCCGGGACGTATTTGTAGATTTATAAGTTTCCACCGTCCATGCTCTGTTTCACGTTTAGCCTTTGGATATTTCTTGCACTGCTTTGTTTTATGTTTTTGTCCCACAGGTTTTGTTCTTGTTTATTATTTATTGTTAGTGTGAGTAAGAACAGGCCGAATTGTCCTTGGAAAATGAGGTATCTCGTTGTCTCTACTCATTCACAGATGAAAAGCTATTGATCTGGCTCATTCAACTTGCATCATAATATTTTAATGGACAGCAAATATGTGTTGACAATTTATATAGTCAACTTACTCATGATGAGTGCCATTAATGAAATTTCCCAGTTTAAGACAATTGTAAGTATTATTTTGTGTAACTTCATAAAATCTATTCACAAATTGTATTTGATATACAGTAATAACAATTTAATCTTAGCATTTCAATTAGACTCCAGCAAGTTTTCAGTTTTAAATTTTTTCAGTGACAGGTGAGTGATGATAGGAAATTAGAGCCAGATATGTTGAATTATGTATGAGGCTTTTATCAGTGCTTACCATAGGATGTGCTAGTAAAAATATTTGTTTATCTATGTATATATGTGCCTCAGATGATAGAAGCTCACCTTGATGTAACTGAAGGTAACAATTCAATTTCTGAATGTCAGTATACAGTATATAAATAGGATACTATTTCAATGTAGTAAGCCATTATGGGAAACTGTGTTTACTTGAAAAAGTGTGTAAACAATGCATAATTTATTGACTATGTATTGCCAGCACATCAACAGGTATTTGGGAAGAGACTGTAGGATTCAATTTCTCATTTGGGAGTGCAGGACTTTCATATTATGACTACCTAAGTCAAATTACTATATTGAAATTGAAATATTCATTGAGAATTTAAGAGCAAATGATTCACTTCATACTAAACAGAAGAATCTCTATCTTAAAGCTCATTGGTGAAATTATTACACATTACATATTTTCAAGAGGGATTTTGCAACATGTTTACATAAGTTTATACTACAAGGCATTCAGAGTAAAACAGTAAGTAGAACACAGCTTGCCATTTTAAGGGCTTCTGTTGAGGGAGATTGTGGGAGTTATCTACATTGCTCTTCTGGTATTTGTGGTTCAACTTTTGGGAAGAACACAGCTTGTTTACACCTTTGACTTGGGGCTCAGAATGGCTTGACTTATTGCTGTCCGTGGCAACACCCAAGAATGGCAACATGAGTTACAAGCCGTTGTGTTGGTGCCTGCAGGGGTCCTCTAACTAACATACACTGTTGTTCTGCTTGCTCTCTGTTGTGCTCCCTCCCGTTCATTGGTTGGTTGGGTGGTTGGTCTCTTACCACTAGTGGACCTTCCAGAAATCAAAGGCGGCCACCGCAAATTCCGAAATCTGGTCTCCAGCTACATAGGTATGAAGACCCACATCTGACACTTCTCCATCTCATCTTCATTCTTTCTCTCTTAACTTTTTTCCTGTTTTACATAGCTTTTTAATTCGATTTATAACTTTGCTGTATTTTTTTTATGTATAATTTATAATTATTTATCTTAATATTACAGTACTTCAGTTTCATCATAATTTCCTTACACATATTTTTCTTAATCTCATTGTGTTTCCTGTGTTAACCTTGTTTACTCTAGGAAATCTTCTGTTTTGTCTTAGCCTATCCTTCTCTTCCCATTTTTTGGCAATACTTTCCAGAATACAAGTACAGTAATATAGTTTAATGTTACTACTCTCTCTGTAGTCTTACTTTTCTGTTATCCTTTTCTTGGTCTTCTATTTAGTTGATTCTCATTATCATGATTTTATTTCATACTTAATTTATTATAGGTGTTCACCCCTTAAGTGTGCTTTAACTGGTCCTTAGGTATTTCTTTGAATATGGCATTTGCTCTTTATCACTGCATATCCTCCTCCTTTATTATTTAAGTTCTGGGTAACTTCACATCTTCTCTGCATTTGTGGCATCTTCCTAATCTTCGCTGCTTGAATCTGTGTTTTATACTCTTTCACCCTAATTTAGTATCTTATTTCTTGGGGGTGTCTCTTTTGATTGCATTATTTATGCTTTGTTGAATAAACTTTTATTGTCATGTCTGGGTTTTCTCCTGGCTTTAATTATTTTTTGTTTCATTGTATTGTGTAAACACTTTGTCATCTGGTTATTTTATGTAGAAATGTAATTTGAATGGCATCCTTTTTTATACTTTAAGGTATTTGTTATTTGTATTTTTTTATTATTTGTGAAGAGTTCATTATAAATTTATTACATTTTGTGTAAACATTAGATATATATCTATCTTCCATCTCTATTTTCCATGTGATCCATCTCACATGCACTCAAATCTTATTTTCAAATACCTACTGCCTTTCTCTAATAGTCTTTTCTGTTTTTACTCATGTGTATACATACATTCATATATATACACACATACATACATACATACATACATATATATATATATATATATATATATATATATATATATATATATATATATATATATATATATATATATATATATATATATATATTAATGTAGTGTGTGTTTTTTGTAATTTTTTACTTTATTAATAATTTGTATTTATCATGTGTAATATTTTTGCAAAAATTTCTAACAAACATTTAGTTAAAAATACATTAAAATCCTTAATTTCTTTCTTTCATTTTTTTCGTTGTAATCAACATTATAGACGCACACACCTCCATAGCACGATGCATAATACACCAGATACATGCAAATTATTTGACACAAGCTGCTTGCTATAGAATAATACTAAATACACATTGATTATTGTACTTTTTGGTGTGCTTTGCATGACACATGTAGTGAGGTAAACTGTTAGCTAGCTGGTGTGTCTGTGGAAGTGTAATGTGTTCTTGCATCATCACAGTCCCATCAGGGTCTCTCTTAGTCCGAGTGATGTATTGTCCGGCTCTAAATATTTTAACCCGAAATAATTACAGCATTGTGTTCTTAAATCTTGTAGCATTTTATAGTGTGTTATGTATCTTTGTTTCATGTCTTTTTAGATGGCAGTTATCTATATATAGGCACAAGCTATCTACAGGTTAAACAAACTGTATAATACTTTTACAGCACATTCTAAATTAGAATTAGAAGTTTTCTTTCAAATGTTTTACTTTTTGGCAATCAATTGTGTAATGTCACCATTAGGCATGTTATTAGATTGAAACTATTGAGAGCTTTATATTTAGTAATAAGTTTAATGTAAACAATATAAAACATTTACCAAATATAGAATGAATAAGGCATATCATATATTAGGTATGAGGTAGATGGGTGTGAAGAACCACCTACTTCTAGAAGAGGGTATATCATGCCATTACTTAGGAATGAAGGAATTGAATATATAGAAATTGCATTTGCATTTTGCCTGATAATAGAGAATTGGTTTGACCTCTGTAGGAAAAAAGGACACTTTAACTAATAATAGGTAGAGATTATAACTTCGATTATTACTCACAGAAATCACAATAACGTGATGCATCAAATGAACAAATCTCTTGATTTCTCATCTTGATTTGATCTCATGATTTCTGTGTGTAATGAAGTAAGGGCGAAGAGGTAGAACGGCTTATTGACAGGGCCCGAGTGCATTTGGGGGAATTGTGTAAAACCCTGGTTTGTCTCTCGAAGAGACTGCAAGATCCGTGCGAGTCCAGTGGAACTCCCGGTTGCATTTCTTTTGACCATGTCGTAGCCTAGTCGATTAAGGCAGCGTCTGGGATCCTCACAGACGTAGGTTCAAACCCTCATCATGGCACCTGTGGATTTGTTCAGATTATTGAGATATTGGGCTTAGAGTGGAATGAAATACTAGTTTCTTAGCAGCACCTCAGTTACTTCCCCTAGCCTGGGCCATGGGCTCACCTCCCAGTCACTATTAGCAATAGCATGGGGTGGGCAACTTTGAGCCCGTATTGAAACAAGTATATATGCTTTCAAATGGTTGTGGTCCATTGTCTGTGGGCTGGGAACCACTGTAGAGAGTACTTCGTTCAACCACCAAGGCCACCAAGGTAATCCTCTCATTATGACGTAATTGAATATATCAGACTACTCGACACTCCATTCGAATGTTCGTTGAAATTATAAGAAAGCCAAGCATCTCTTTAAAAATTCCATAACTAGGAAGCTATGAACTTCACTCATCACCACCAGGTGTCAGTACTAGCTAGTACAACAGCATTGGAGGAGGAAGCAAGCCCTACTTTTGAGTTGAGTCCACCCAATTGCACTCAGAAAGACAAAACCAAAACTAGAATCAAAAAGAGAATCTGAACATGGTACTATAAAAGCCCAACATCCTGAGACACAACCGGTATATATATATACATGGCTCTGTTCAGAAAATAGGGAGTTCCCTCAAGAAAAAACACTTCCCAGTATAACAGGTAAAACCTTCTAGTCCAAATCCCAAAAACTTGAAAATGTACACTTCTTTCCCAAGGAAAACAAATTGATGGCAGCCAACAAGGCCTTCTCATGGTTACCTTGTGTTGGCTCTGTGGATTAACAATCTGGTCTCTGATCAGGCCTTCTGGTTGGTGGTCTAGTAACCACGCTGTTAATTAACACTTTCGCAGTTCCAGAGAGATAGGTCCTCCTTTCCCAGTGGTTTTGGGCGTTCCGCGGGAGTGCGCGGCAATACTGAGAAGTGCATACTTTTTTTTCAACTTTGTCACCTTAATTCTCATCCTAGGTTTTTCAATTTTGTATCAATGTGTTCGCAATAGAATGCTCTACAGAACTAAAAGCATATACACTCCAAAAGCCCGGCTTACCACCCGCAACAAACAAGGTGAGAGTGCTCAAGAGCGATAAAATGTGTACACTCTTTTCACTTTGGTCACCTCAATTTTTCTCCTAGGTCTTTCATTTTGGTATCAATGGGTTTGGAATAGAATTCCCAACAGGAGTGTATGCATATAATGTTAAAAACTGTGGTGCGCTCCACCCACGATGTGATGAAAACAGGCCGCGGTTACCCAGAAGAGAACAGGGTATTCCATTAGAGAGAGCAGTAATACTGAAAAGTGCATACTCTTTTCTACTTTGTCATCTCAATTCTCGTCCTAGGTTTTTCAGTTTGATATCAATGTGTTCGCAATAGAATTCTCTACGCGATTAAATACATATGGAGTCCGAAAGCCCGGCGTATCACCTGCACAAAACGGAGAAAGTGAGAGCATGTTACCCGGGAGCGCTAAAGAGCAATGAAATGTGTACACTCTTTTCACTTGATCACCTCAATTCTCGTAGTAGGTCTTTCATTTTGGTATCATTGGGTTCGCAATAGAATTCCCTACAGGAGTATATGCATATATAAAGTCCAAAAGCCCGGCGTACCACCCATAGCATACAGAGAGTGTGACAAAATATTACCCCCATGAGCGCTCATCAAGAGCAATAAAATGTGTTTACTCTCTTCAACTTTGTTACTTCAATTCTTGTCCTAGGTCTTTTATTTTGGTATCAATGTATTCGCAATGAAATTCCCTACTGGAGTATAGACATATAATGTCCAAAACCACGGTGCGCTCCTCCCACATAAGAGACGAAAACTTTTTTTTTTTTTTTTTTTTTTTTTTTTTTTTTTTTTTTTTTTTTTTTTTTACACCATACTTCGTCATTAGTGGAAATAAGGTACCAAAATTTTGACTCCATACTTCGTCATTAGTGGGCGAAAGTGTTAAATGCATCTTCTTGCAGTCTGACATGAATTGCAGCCCAGGTTGATAAGTTATCATTAGGTAGTGTTTATAAAATTTTCTCGAGTGCAGTGAAGGGGGTGTCAGTTTTACCCCTTATGTTTAGAGGGAGAGTATAGACGAATCTTGGGCCCTTGATGTTGACAGAATTGTATCTTTGTATACTAATTTCACCTCTGCTTTTCTATTGGGTTATTTTGCATTTGCTGCCTTGCCTCCTGGAGGTGGCATTTTGATAAAAGAACACAGAAAAGACAGAGGAGCCAAACTGTGTTGCAGACTGCATCAGATCAGATGCATGGTCCCTATATTGCTGCAGTAATAACACCAAATGACTAGGCTAGAATCCAACATAAAGAAAGATGCTGGTTAAAATGGGTACATCCTACCATTATTTGCAAGTTAGTATAAAGTTTAAATTGGGATGCAGTGTAATACCACATTATCATCTCTAAAAGGCTTCATCTAGCTTAGTCACCAAAGTTCAGGAAGAATTGATGAGAAACCATGAGGCTCATAAAATCATCTTTTGATTGAAGACCTCCCCACATTGACGGCTTCTCAACATGGTGCAGAAGGGAAAATGGAAGGCCACCAAGAAAGACCTCTAATCCATCCTAGGAGAAAAACACAGGTATTTTCACATGCAAAGAAAAGAGATGCCAGTA